TATGAGCACAATCATCAAGTCATTTCGACCATACGGGATGACAGTCGACAAGAGTTCTATCCTTGTGTCATGTGATAAGGTATTGGTTGACCAACAGACCAGGATTAACATCTCGAATTTTGTTATTTCCCCCCATTACGGCGTACAGGCTAGAAATGACCATCACTGCCTTCATCGGCAGTTAGTCTTCACAGTGGCATGCCTTGCGCTGCATGCTCGAAATCATGTTCTGATTACGATTGAACTAGCAGCCGGGTTCCGAAAAATGTACTTGTGTCAGTAAATGCTCTCCCAACCTCATCCTGTACTGAGAACCAACTTGCGATTTTTGTATTCGCAAATCGTACGTTGTTAGATGACATCAGTTAGGGTTATGCCTCCGCGGGCTTTAGTAATGCTGACGTTGCCCTTAAGCCAGGAGTGTCTTGAGAGTCCAGCGGTAACAGTGGTGTGTCTAAATAGCTTGAAACTCTGCTCCAAAGTAATAAAAATTTCACTTAAGTAATCAAGCCTAATCTAAAACACACTTTCAAATTTTGGTTAGCTCTGAATGAAACCGGTCTATGACCGTAATAAATAGAGCTGATGCAAAGAAGGAATGACAGGGGGGGTGCTTGGTGTAACATACTATAAGGAACGTTGCTCCCATAAGAAGGGCCTTGGCCTTCACTTGTAAATCCATTGGAAAGGTGACAGCAAACGTGTCCGCATCGGTCATATACTCTTGTAAAAAACCTTTCCATTCCTTCGAAATCTCACCGATTGTGTGCTCTCCATCGGCAGTTAGAACCTATAAGACATAGAAAGAACTACCTTCATAACCTGCGCACATTGCAGGAAAGGCTCTATTATTCCCACCATAGTGTATATCGACCGAGGGAAAATTTGCGAGTACAGCAGCGGGGCAAGTGAGTTCCGTTAGCGGTCGGTGAACGTTTATCAACGAGTGTGTCAATATCTCCTGACCTAAGTCGGCAAGACAACGAGCTCATGGCTCAATGGCTAGGACGTTAGACACTGATCAAAGAGGTCGTAAGTTTGAGCCTCGGATGGTGCACCACTTCGGCTTGGATATGATTGGCTGACGACGGCTTATAAGCCAGAATTAGCCATTCAGGTCTCCCTTGCATCTGCCGACAGCACTATCTGCAAAAACTACTCGCCGCTGTGCAGCTGATGCCAGGGCTCGAGAAATGAGGCCGAAGGTAGAGCTGAACGAGTGGGTTTCGTTAGCGGCCTGTTAAAGTTCATTGAAGATTTCGTCAGTAGCCAATATCTGATGGCTTTGGAAAACACAAAAACGGAAACGAGTCGAGTGGGTTCATTGCTCCAAAAAGCTACTTGCAATTTTCCCAGGTGGCTCACTGTACGTCACAGGCCGTGACCCATCCAGGCGTAGGTTGGCTTATGTCTGTCGCAAATGTGTTACAATTAAGTGGGAAAAACGCAAACTATGTAACATGAAAACTATGAGTCATGCGCGGAGTCCCACTTAATTCACATGTCAACCTCCAAAGTGTTCAAAGTTGTCTATTTTGGTGATGATCAGCAAATGGAAATAAGTAAGATATGCGTGTTCCTCTCCAGCTTCCCAGTGGTCCCCACAACAAAAGTTTTGATTCCATTATAGAAACATCAAAAGACTTGTCACACTCGAACTTTCATTCCCAAGGTCTTCCACTTCATAGAGAACCCTCGGAGAGGCCGAGGATACAATTTTGATATATTAACATGAGCAACTGACATAATAAAATTTGCGGAGTTCAAGCTTTAGAACGGTATTCGGGGGAACAGTGAAAGCTTATACAAAAGCCAATCAAACAGAAACCATCCGCTGTGATGCCAACTCACTTTGTAGGACACATTGGTTCCCATAAAAGAAAAGTTGCAACATAGAGAGGGTCCCTGGATTTGCAGCAGTGTGCTGCCGGATGCATCTTTGACAAAGTAGAGGGTCTCACAGCCCCTATGCTGCTGCCGAATATAGCCGAGAGTACCACCTGTCGGGCACTTAACCTCTACTTCATCCAAGCAGGCAGTACTGCACCTACAAATAACCCATTTACAACAAATAGGAGCATCGCAAAACAGCCGGAAGAGCTCAATAATGTCAGCAAAAATTATGCAATAGCTTGAAAGTATTGAGAGCTGAACATCAAAAAGTGGGAGAGTTAACGGATTCATAATTACCCGTCAACTACAGGCCGGGATTGACAAAACACGCACACAGCAGAAAGAGTGGCATAAAATCGACAACTAGGCGCCAGAGCATTCATTCTCTGAAGACTGATAGACGAGGCAACTACTTGAAATGCCAGATACAAAATAAATCTCTCTCTCGGTGAACGCTTTTTCAATATCTTCTAAGTAACCACCTGGGAATCGCACTTTCACTACTACTATAGGTGGATTATTTGCAAAGCATTCGATGCGAATTAGAGAACCGACAGTTAAATATCTTCCTTAAAACACACGATTTCCGGTTGAGTGGTTTTCAGCTTCAAGCACCAGTGATGTTGAACTGGACAGTGTAAGGGTATCAATTCCTTTAAGAACAGGCAGCAGCAGCAGCGGTAGTCTGCAAGCGGTTCCGGCAAACAGCACAAGGAAAACAGAAGACGTCGTTTCAGCTGACCGAATGATCAAATTCCCACTCATATTTCCGGATGTGAATAGAAAGGAAGAAAATGGTAGTTGCATTTTAACCGTGGGGATAATAACCTAGAGCTTTATTTCTCTTTCAGGAAGCTTTATTTGCGGGCAAACCTTAACCAACTCCACAAATGGGCATTGTACTGGCTCTTACCGTTCAATGTGAGCAATTGCATTATTATGAGAGTCAGCAAAAGTAGTTCTTCTAACCTCACGGTTTAAGGACTGAACGGCATACCACTGCAAAAAGTGGATGCCCAGGAGGACTTGGGAGTTTGGATCACGCCGTCACTTTAACCTTCCCTACACTGCGCAAAGTTAGCTAAGTCTGCGATGTCGGTTCTGTGCGTTGCTAAACGAGATTTCTCTGCGATTGATGTCGACTGCTTCGCTAAAGTCTTCGGAATCTTCGTGCGGCCGTAACTAGAGCCCGTTATCCAAGCTGAGACCCTGGGCTGCGAAATACCACAATATCCTAGAGAAAGTTCAAGGGCCTGCAAACAAGCTTGTCGTTGGACAGGGATCACTACTCTAGGACATACGGCTGCCTATTCGCAATCTCTTGCCTTTGAGCTACAGACGGCTACGAGGTGACCTGATACTAACAGTTTGCATCTTACGTGCTCAAGACTGCTGTTTTGCATCAGGCGATTTCCTTGATTTAGCAACAAAAACCCAACTTGAGAGGTCATCCTATCAAATCACTTATAACTGGGGCCAGGCTGGACACTAAAAAATTCTATTTATCC